CCCGCCTACTGTCCTCGGATTTGCCCCCCGAGTCCCGACCTCCCCCATTGCTGGCCCCATGGGAGTCCCAGGAGGTTTGTCCAGAAGCGCCCCCTCCAGCCCCATCACCTTCTCCAATAAAGTCCTGTCTGTCCCCAGCCTGCAGCCAGTCCTTCCTCCTCAGGGGACCCCCAAGTCCTCACACCCCTTTCCTGGAGCCCATCCCCTCTGAGACCCCTGTCTCCCAGCACCCAGCCTCTCCCTCAAGGCTCAGGGCACCCGAGGGGCCTGCCTGCGGGGAGCATAGGCTAAGGGTGCACTATGTAGTGAGGTGGTTGTATACATTTGGGAACGTGCTAGAAAATTCTGTGCTGGTGTTTTATTACCATCAAAACGTTAAGAATCACAGTGAGGAGCTGTGCCACTCAGCAAGACATGGGGGTGCAGACAGGAGGCTGAGGGCCCCAGCCACTGGCCTCTGGTGGCCAGAAGGGTCCCCCGTAGGCCCTCCCTAAGCACCGGGCCACACGGAAACGTTTGTCGGCAAACTCCAGCTCATCCAGCTCCACGTGACCTTTGCCACCCAAGGACAAGTCCTCGCCGTCACCCCTCCCTGGGCGGTTGCCTTCGCGCAGTGCCGTTTCTTAAACCCTTTTCCATCTGGGCGATTGGGACTCTTACACTTAAAAAACCAAACGCTATTTGAGAAGAAATATCGGAAGCGCTCACATCACAAGTGCAGCACCTGTGGCGGGAGACTTTCCAAGCACTTGGTGCCAAAAGGTGTCATTTTAAACCCAGTCACTGCTGGTGAGGGTACAGGAAAGGTAAGCAGCATGGAGGGCAGACTTGGCACGTTGTGACCAAGAGGAGAGGATGCAGGGGACCAATGGGCTAGGCCGTCCCCTGCCCTCACCTGGACAGGTCAGGTGCTCCGCACCCAGCCCCTTTCTGGCTGGCTGTGGCCGTCAGGGCATATGGGGACCCTTCGCCAGGCTGGGGCCCCACACCATCCATCACTGAGGCTTGGTGCTGTCATACTGGCCCAGGACCTTGCTGGAGGGGTGGCCAGATCTGCTCAGGTCTGGGGGCAGGGCAGCCCTTCCAGGGTCCCTTTGCTCCCCCACCCCCGCTGCTCTCCCTCCCTGCAGGGAGAAGATGGGCCCCAAGCAAGCCGGCAGAAGGCAGATGGACCGGCAGGAAGTGAGCCTCCAGCGACCACAGATGGAGATGGGAGGTCCTGAGGAGGTGGGAGGCCCAGAGAGAGGACGAGGCAGCCAGGAGACGGCAGAGGCAGCGTAGTGAAGATGCGGCGTAGCCAGGAGGGTGGGCAGAGGGGAACCCTGAGACACAGAAGCCCTGAGACGCGAGGTCCCCAGAGAACTGGGGATAAGGCACAAAGGGTGGGTCCCTGAGGTGCATGGAGGCCCAGAGGGGACCTGAAGCCCACAGATGGTGGAGGCAGATGCCTAAGGAGGGGGAGGCGGGGCCTGGAGATGGAGGTGCTGAGCAGAGATGGGAGTCGGGGGATAAGGCAGCGGGCAGCGAGGGCTGCAGCCCCCAAATGGAGAGGCCAGGGCAGGCACGGGGTGAGCCCCAGGGGGGCCGAGCTCTGGCTGTGCTCATCCGGGTTCCTAGCTTCTGCGCCCGAGGACCGAGTGCCCTGCGGGCAGGCAGCAGGGATGCGGAGACCCCGGCGGGACACTCACTTCTTGCTCTTGAACGTACTCAGGATCTTGGGCATAAACTTGCCCACCTTGCTGTCCCGGGCGTCCTCCTCGGCCGGGCCCTCCCCTGCGCCTCCGCCGGCCTCCTCCTTCTTGCAGAAAACCTCGAAGCGGCTGTACACGCGCTTCTCCTTGCGCATGCTCTCCATGCGGCGCAGCAGCCGGTCGCGCTCCTCGGCGCTGGCGGGCAGCGTGCGGCTCAGCCGGCCCTGGGCCCCCAGGCTGTCTGAGCGGAAGATCGCTGAACACTTGTCCTTG